ATTTCTCGAGATCATAATTTTCTCTTTTGTATCCCATTTAGAGGACTATAGTGAGTCTGCAAAAGACAAAGATGTTTTCTAAAACAAGATCGGGGCCAGCAGGAGGCATGGTGATTAAGGTGCTGGACTTCCACATAGCCAATCGTGGTTTGAATCCCAGACCTGGCAGCTTGCTTTCTCACTTTGTCTCTCTCTTGTGAATTAAAAATACTAATAAATAAAAATTAAATAAATTATTATTTTGATAGGGGCTGGCAGGTGGCATAGTGGTTGGGATGCTAGACTTCCACATGACTGACTGAGGTCTGAGCTCCGGACCTGGCAGCTTACTTTCTCACTTTCTCTCTCTCTCTCTCCATCTCTCTCTGGTCAAATTAAACATAATAATAATAATAATAAATAAAATTAAACAAAAAAAATAACAAGTTCAGTAGGTTTTCTGATGTGAATTCAAAGATCACTAGTATAATATGTTTAGAATGACCAATGTACATCAGTATCTAAGCATAGATCTTTCAAAATCTGCTAAGCAGTCCATTTGCTCCTATATTAGGAGCAATTTAATAGGTTTTCCTAAACTTTAGCAACAAGACTTACACTTTAAGGAAAATATGACTAAATATAATGAATTCAGAAGGAGCTTTTGTGAGCTTCATACTTGATAGGCATATGTTAATATGAAAAGAGGATGCTTTCCACAAACTTCAAAACTGACTTAAAGATAAAAATATAAATTAAAAAGTACATTCTCAGGGCCAGCAAGTGGCTTGATGGTTAGGGCACTGGACTCCCACATGGCTAACAGTGGTTTGCGTCTTGGACCTGGCAGCTTGCTTTCTCACTTTCTCTTTCTCTCTCTGTCTCTGGTCAAATTAAAAAGTAATCATCATAAATAAAGTTAAATAAAATAATTTTTTAAAAAGTATATTCTCTGCGCAGCTACTGTAGCATGCACTGTGGATACTGCTCCTGAGAGGCTGAAGCCATATGACAGGCCTGGGTTGGATTGCTGGCCCACCCTAAAGCCAGGCATGGTGGTGCATGCCTGTAGCCCCAGGGTCTCAGGACACTAAGGTGGGAAGATTACAACATAGCAAGATCTTATCTAAAAAAAAAAAAGGTACATTTTCCTTTTATTCTTGAAAATAAGAATAAGAATTCAGTACTTAGAAAGCCTGGATAAAGAAGAATATCAGCAATTTTAAAAATTAGTCGGCCTTTTTGAAGGAGAACAATGAGGAAGAAGCTTAAGCAATATATTTTCTCTTTCTACAAATATACCAGCTTATAAAGAAAATCAAAACTGGTTAGGCCAGCCTGCCCAAGTAAAGACTTTCAGAGGTACTGACAATGAAACGAAAATGTAAACATTTAAAAATTTTGATCTGTCACATGGACGGTTCGTTTTGTAATAAATATAGTCTCTGGAAAATACCTCTGGAAATACCAGATATACTACTGTGGAAGGAAAACAGTTACAAAAAAACAAAAGGAATATGGACTTAGTTACAATTCAAAATGTTTTCAAAATGATCAGTTTTTATCAAAGAAGACTCATAGCTTCAAAAAATAATTATTTTCAAATTAAGTGATGAAACATTTATATTATCAGTTTAATTTTAAATTGTATCCCTGTAGTTTTAATAAAGAGGAATAAACTTTATCATAAGTTTTAGCATTAAAAAGTCAGATGGAGAATATAAAAAAGATCTTTCACCTATGAACAGCATTCATTGTCACTGGTAATGACCATGGAAGACTAAGAATCTTTAAAAATAATGTTTTTCTAGTGGTCTATATCAATACACAACTATAACTGTCTATCGACTCTCCTAGTTCTGAAGATGATCTTTACCCTGGGAAAAAATAATGAGAATACTGGACCAGCCTTCCTGAAAACTTCTGCTTACTATTCAGTAAAAAATACACTTGGCATTTATATCTGCTTATTATTTTTTAAAATGTAATTTAGGGAGAAAAATTTTAATTATTTTTGGGAAGAGGCTGAAGAAACCCCAGTGAGACATTCTGTAGAGAGGTCTTTTGTTAGTATAACATCTGACCTTCTATATCTTTGGAAATCATGCAACTTGGCTAATGTAGTCCTCAAAAAATTAATCAAGCAGATTGTAAGGCCCTAGTTACAGTGGAGCCAGCCAATTATGAGTTGCTCAGAAATTCATCATTGGTATGTCCAACCACATTTTCCCACATAAAGATTAGTAGAAATATGTGGAAACAGGGCCTATTCCCTCCCCAGCACAATATGTGTTCAGTGAAACAAATTTCAACAAAGTTTTGCCTAGAAGAACAAACTATTTATGTGGGAATCTTTTTGATTCCTGTCTTTTATCCATAATACCTTTTCTGCCAACATTGCAAAAACTGCCCTATTTAGTTAAAACCCATATAGGGACTTTTCTGTTCAAATTTTTATATTCAAACACAGTTCTGAATTCAAACTAAAATCACATGCCACAAGTCTGAATTCATCACTAAGTTAGTGAAATCCCCAAACACCATCTTTAAGTCTTTTCACTGTTGTGGTGACACCTTCCAAGCCTTACTAAAAAGAAAGCTTTTCTTGCAAGAGAGAAATGAAAGGGGCTAAAGTAGATGAAGACTGGTTCTCTAAGGAGAGGGCAGTACTGCTCTTAAAGAAGCTCCTTTCAGATAAGCAGAATCAGATTCCAGTTCAGTTGGTTTTCTGGCTACCCTTACTTTGAACTCTCATATTTAACCCAGCAGGCTTCAAAGTAGGTAAGAAAATGGCCTACCACTTAAAAGCAATTTTTCCTTTTTCAGGAATTCTGGCCTTGGAGAATATCAGCTCTGATATTAGCACATTCCACATCTCCAGGGATTTATGCAACTTTTTTCATTGCTCTATGTCTAATGTCAAACTAGGTTTTCATCTCAGCCAGGAGAAAAATCAGGGGTAAAAATCCTAATCTGCTGAAAATGAAGCCTTATTCCACATAGTTTTATACCATGTAAAAGAAGAAGCACCAAAACTACTATTTCATTCACTCCCATTTACCTAAATTCTACGTACAGGGAGAATTATTAAAAATCATCAATCCCCAATACCAGGTTTCAAAAAAACAACTTTTGTAACAAATACATTTTAGGAAATTCAAATTTAATTTGCTCTATCATGTGAGGTAATACAAAAAGATACTAGATGAGGAAGAGACAATGGTAATAATGAAGAAATTTTGGAAACTTTCTTAATTCCTTTGCTTACTAAATTACAAACACGTTTGTTTCCAAGACTGTTCATAAATTTCTACTTTCTTTGGCCATCAAAAAGCTGACTTGTGAAAAATCTTTTTCTTTTAAACTTTATTTAATTTGACCAGAGAGGGGCAAAGAGAGAGAGATAGTGAGAAAGCAAGCTGCCAGGACCAGGACTCGAACCATAGTCAGCCATGTGGGTGTTCAGCACACTTAACCACCATGCCACCTGCTGGCCCTGACTTGTGAAAAATCTTAACATATATGTTTGCAACTTACTGTTAGGTTCTGTCCTATGAGGCAGTTTCCCAGTCTGGAATTTGAAACATTTCCTCACTTTCCGTGGTTCACATATGTATGATATACCAAAAGTATATCACTAATAGTATTAAATGATGAGCTTATTGTTAGGACATATCTTCTCCAAATATGAGGGAGGTGAGGTTTCCCACTATAGCTGCATTTTGGTTACAATATGACAATCACAGTAGCAACAGCTAACACTCACCTACTTTTACTATAGGCAGACATAGCTCTAAACACTTGACACACACACACACATATATATATATATATATATATATAGGAGAGGTTTTTGCTATAGGGTGCATGTGCTCACCACAAAGAGAGAGACAGAGATACAGAAAGCAAGAAATCACCTCCCAGGGGGAATGGCCACGCCACAATTCCTTCTCCTCCATTCTCCTCTCAGGATCCTGGGCACGCATGCACACACACCCGGCATGAGTTTTAAGCTACCAGGTCCGGGACTCGAACCACAGTTGACTACATGGGAGTCCAGCAACATAGCCATTACACTAACCGCTGGTCCTGACACTTGACATATTTTAAACTCATTTAATCCTCATCAAAACCTGTAAGATATGGGACTAACTGGTAGTGTGGTGGTTAAGGTGATGGACTCCCTCATGGCTGACCATGATTCAAGTCCCAGACCTGGCAGCTTGCTTTCTTACTCTGCCACCCCTAATCTCTCTCTGGTGAGTGCACGTGCCCTTTAGCAAATTAATAATAATGACAACAGCAATAATAATAAATAAAATGAAATAAATAATTCTTTTTTAAAAAGAGACAGTACTATTCTTATTTTAGAATGTAGAGTAGAAAGATTAGTAACTTACCTGAGGTTGCACAGTCAATAAGTGTAAAGGCTGGAATTTGTTCAAAACAAAAAAGTCTGGCTTCAGAGTATGCTCATAGTCATCTGCAATGCTGCTCCTTCTCCATCTTGGTAAGGTGGCACTATCCAGGTGTTTTAAATTCCTCATACTGGGGGTAGGTAGAACATGGCTTCTCAAGGTTTAGATGGGCATATAGGATTACCTGGGAATCTTGTTAATGCAGATTCTGATTCAGAAGGTCTGGAGTGGTGCCTAGGTTCTGCACTTTTAACAAGCCTGGGTGACAGTGATCCTTTAATACATAGACCAAACTTTATAAAGCAGTGAAGAAATAGGTTTTGAGCCTCTAAGTCTCTTGCTGTTTATCTCTATATCAGGCATTTATATGTAGTGTTTATAAGCTGGAGACTTCCCACACTGTAATAATTTTTCATTAACTCTTAACCAGAACATTTCTTGGGGACAGATGCATACCAAATATTGGTTTGCAGGTATTTTCAGTAACTACTTAGCTTTCAGGAATTTAAAACATACATGTAAAGACCATGGGGATAAAACGTGGCTCCAAACATTCACTGTTAGGAACATTCTAAACACCATATGCCACCAACTATAAAAATACCAAAGGATAGTGAACAAATGCTTCTTTATTGTTCATCAACTGGAATCACAGTATATCAATAACTTTGGTCTACAAAAGAAGCTTCTGCTTTAAAATATGTAATTATTCACTCTTAGGCTCTGCTAGAAGAGTGTTCAGGAACTTAGACTATGTAATCTTAAAGACTCTTCTGGTGCCATTAGTGATCTCTTACGCAAACACTGGATATTATCGTCAATGGATGGAGTATTCAGTGAGTGTGCTTCACATTAATTTTAGCCAGTATCTCATGGAAATACAATGTTAACAGCTGCCACACACCTAGCCATATTCTAGGTCTCCCTCTTTGTTCTAGTTAGCTTCCTTCCCACCCCACTGCTGTAAGAGCAACCAAAGAATCGTCTCTTCCATTCCTGCCAGTGATCTCAAATACACAGCTATACATTTTTTTCCCTAGCTGTTAAATGGATGGGATTCCCTTTCTAGTGCATTTCCCCCCAGATTACACAGTAAGGTCATTTCCATTTGAGTTGTACTCACTCCCCAGTCAGTACCAATGCAAATAGCAGAGTTAGGGATGATCACTAAGCTTCCTTTTTACACTAAAAGGAAATAGAATAGCCGGTTTCCAACCCAAATATCTATACTCCCTGAACAACAGTGGAAAGTCATTCTTCATCAAGTCTGACCCAGAATCAAGTGCAGACTCAGACTCCTAGGCCTACAGCCAGTGGCAACTTAACACATTATACAATTGACCTTCAGGGAAATGAGAAATCAGTGCTCTCACCACTGGTGCCAGAAGAAAGCCAACTCATCTCTAAGGCACAAGTAAACTATTCTTAAGGCAGGAAAAGAAACTCAGAGAAAACAGGGAGATGTAATAGAGGTATATAGAGAAAAAATACAGAAATATGGAGGATCTTCAAAAAGTTCTTGGAAAACACATATCACTAAAAAACTGTGCAAGGCTTTTTAAAATCTGTGCACCAAAACAGACTTGTATTTTAATTTTACTTCCCATGAACTTTTTGAAGTCTCCTTGCTCACTATCAAGTAAGTATTAGTTTTTCTAAAGTTCTTAGTGTTTTTACATTTGAGAATATAATGAACAGTGTTTCCTTTCTTATTACCTTGTAAAAATGCAAAGATATACAAGGAAGATTCATTTTTCAAAAAGGCTTGGAGACTTAAAAGGAATTATCTTTGGTAACTTTACTTTGAGCAAGTGATATTAGCAAGTTTATGTAGAAAAGTAAATACTCATGAATACCCTAGTATCAGTTCTCAAATATTTCCTGGGTCAAGAAATGGGAAAGCAGCTCAAAACTAAAGGGTGAAAATGAAAATAAAGGCCCTTATATGGTTCTATACTTAAGATTTGGGAAGCTCAATAAGAACACACAGACACAATAGCTGGAAGAACCTCTGCGTATTATACCCAGGGTGAATGTCCCATCTGTCCCGTCTCACCTATTTGTTCACCATCCTAGTTGCATTCTTGAATTTAAAGTTCATTAAATCCCTAGAATAAATTATTTCACTTAAATGGAAAAATTAAAAGGCTTGTTTACAAAATAGAGAATTATTTTAAATGCTGAAGAAAATTTACTAATGGTAAAAGAGAGCTGGATTATTCCTTAACTAATAACAAGTGCTATGTTTATCACCAAAAGTGATCTACAAGGATACATTTTATAATGTTATATGAATGTATTCTTTAAACATTTAAGCAGCAGAAATATAGGTCAAATCACCGAAAACTTATGTTTGACATATTTATGACCAAAACTTTACAAATCAATTCCTTTAATTTACTTTAACAAATTTCTTCCACTGCTCAACTGGGTTAGCACAAACAGATCTGAATGTTTTCTTGTGTGTTTTTACAAATACTCTACACAAGTCCTTGAGATCATACTTACAGCTTTAGCAAAAATACCCATGATTTCAGGAAACTGGTGTGTGAAAAGGGCTATCATTGCTGTAGAAGAACACAGTCCTGCTGTGAAATGGATAAAAAAAGGAAGATCCTTCTTTGGGTAAACAGAAACATGATGAAAGGCTGCAAGGGAGAAAAGGCAGAGATGATTCTTATTTCAGGATACAGTGCAATACACGTATCAGAATATCGCACTGTATTCCATGAATACGTACAGTTATTATGGGTCAACTATAAACAAAATTTTGAAAGTTAAGAAAAAATAATACCATGTAAACCAATCTTAATATTTTCAAGTGAAATCTATTTTTAAAACCTAAAAAGGAAAAGTAAAATTTTTAAAGAATGAGAAATCTCTGGCCAAGTAAGGTAAAAGAAGGGCATGCATTATTTTTTTTTAGCATCCACAGCAAATCTACATAGTCTGTGCTGGGGTCTTAGAACAGGATGGCATCGTGGGAAAGAACATCGATTATAAAGTCATGCTGAGGTGGTTTTGAAAAAGAGCTTTGTTGTTTATTAGCTGTCTGATCTTGAATAAGTTGCTAAACTCTCTAGAAGTTGCTATGGAGTTGTTATGATGAACATTGTAAGTGCTTAATAAATGTAAGCTGTTATTAATTCTTGTTCTTAGGGAGCTCAAAGACTAGTATAAAGAGACAGATATGTCACTGGAGATTTTCAGAAATATCAGTTAATAATTTATCAAATTATTAATGTGCTCTATATGTGGCATTTTATTGAGCACTGTAAAAAATTGAACTAGAGCCCTAGGAGTCTGGCCAAAATGAAGTCCTTAGTCTTATTTTACCACACTTACTCAGGTATTTTTTATTTTTTAGTGACTGATTATTTCATTACCAATTATATTGAAGTATTTATATTTTATTTGAAATTTGAAAATAATTGAATAGCATTACTGTGCTGAGCCTATTTCAGTGCCTGACACACAGTAGTTGCTCAATAAATGTCTGTTAAACTGGGAGCTATTTAGGAATTTCATTTGTCCAGGAAGTTGACTGCCCAGAACTGGACACTAACCCAGGAACTCCTGATGTAATACCCTACGCTAGTAAGGGATGACTAATTCAGTGCTGAACTATGGCCAGCCATACATTTAACTTTTTTAAACCTAATGATTCACAGAGATTGCACCTAAGCTTCTTTCAACAGCTATTACATTTTATATCTTGAACTATATTCATACCAAAAATCAAACTCATTAAAAATCCAGAAAATTTCCAGAGCCTTGAGCTATTATTAAAGCAAAATCACAACAGAACTGAATTTTTTTACAGTTACAAATATTAGAAACTATAGAGAACATAGTGCTTTCAGCAAATAAAGAACCAGCAGTCCCTTTTGCCTTGTCTCTCAGTCATGAGAGGGTGATTTCTTCTAACAAACCAAAAGAAACAAATTCTGGTATTTGAGAAGACAGGAACACATATTAATTTAATAATCAGCTAACCTGTATAGCATTTTTTGGTTTTTAAGGTGCTTTCATTTATATTAGCTCATTTGATTATTTTTCGATAACCCTAAGAGATAAATAATATTATTCTTGCTTTATAGGGAAGAATACTGCATGATTTTAGTAAGAAAATTTCCCAAAATATGAGATTTTTATACTGTAGGAGAGATATAATTATTTCTTTTTGGATTGCTTTCTGTAGATTCATTTGTCAGTCAATATTTGGCTTATATATCAATATAATGAGTGAATGAATAGTACAGAAACACTCCCTTGGAATAAAAGTTCAAATCTCATCAGTGGCTTGTAGAGAAAAATTTATCAGGAGGCATAAAAGACAACTCAATAGCTATATGAATTAGAGGAATAGTTCAAGTCTGAACTTATAAGATCTATAGGCAAATTCCAGAATGCTATAAGTCATATCAAGGTTGGAGGAGAATTAAAAACAAAAATCTCATAAGTACTCCTGGGTATTAGAACTCCCTATTACTTTATTTATTTATTTTAGAGAGATTTTTGCTATAAAGAATGTGTGCTTGCTAGAGAAACAGAGACAGAAAGTAAGAAATCACTCCCCATGGGAGATGGACACACATCAATCCCTTCTCCTCCATTCTCCTCTCGTGATCTTGGGCATATACACACATGCGTCCAGTGTGAGGTTTTTCTTAAGCCATCGGGTCTGGGACTTGAACCACGGTCAACTACGTGGAAGTCAGCAACATAACCATCTTCTAGTCCCAGAACTCCCTATTACTAAAAATTTGTTCACTCTACCACAGTGAGCGATATAAAAAATATTTAAAGAACTTTCAGTATAATCGAGCCCAACTGCAATGAGAAAGATACATATCCTTCCTGTCTTACCTCCTGGAGTTTGCTATATAGGGCTACAATTAAAAAAGGTTTGCCAAAAAGCAAGTTGTCTCATCTTGTAACTTATGACTCTGACAACATGATAATAACCCTGATTTTATTCATATTACTATGTAAAGTTTGCCTTATATCAGACAACTTTTTTTTTGAGTTTTTTTTATTACATTTTTTTCTTTATTTATTTACCTTCATTCACTGTACATCATTATAGCATACAAAATGAGATTTTTCCATTGAGAATACACTGTATATTGGCTCAATCAAGCACATCAACATATGTGTTATTGTCAACAAATCATTTTCCATTTCTTATTTTCTGTATATTTTGCCTTTTTTCCCATCCTTGATTCCCTATCTCACCCTCTGCCATCTCCCACCCTCCTCCCACACTGTGTCTGGTATCTATTGTTGCTTTCTATGCCTCCCCCATTTTATTGTTTCACTAAATATCTTAATAAATCTAAATATTTTCAATAGCAAGCACAGCTGATATGTACATATCCATGAACACAAGTCTGACTTTAGGCATAAACCTCAGTGAATAGAATAAATATACTATAAAGTAGCACCTAACTAGGGCTATATAGCTTATAACTGCAGTCATCAAATAAGTATTTTTAATGCTTTTTTTCTTCTGAATTTTTTTTTTATCAATTTACATTCATTCCCTGAGCATCATCACAACATTCTAAATGTGGTTTCCCATCTAGAATATACTGCATAGTGGCTTAATAATGCATGTTATCATCCATAATATTCCATTTCTACTTTCATATATATGTTTTTTACCCCATGTCTAGCCCTCTGCCCTATTCCACTCTCTTATTACACTATTTCTGCTGTCTACCATTGTCTTCAATCCCTTTTCCCCCAACATTTCGTTGATCACACAATATCATAAGTAATCTAACTACTTTCAATAGCAAGATCAGCCGATGGTTTCAAGAAAAGCAGTTTTGAACTGGTAAGGATATTTCTTTGAAACTTAAAGCCTAGAAACAGGTTAGTATTCTGTTCAAATAGTAGGAACATGAGTCTATCAGACAACTTTTGTAAAGGTTTACAGAGAAGCATTCTTTTAGGCTAATGTATTAGCCTAATATAATTCACTCTTGCATATTGAAGTTCCATAATTAAATATCCATTCCTTTGCCTTAAACATCCTTGTTCCTCTTAAAGTGGAGAAAAAGGAAAAAAAAGAACAACCTGCTATCATCATCACTCTAAGAAGGAAAATAGAATTTCTCTCTTTGATTCACTGTCAAAGTCAGTGGATTCTTCTCAGGAATTACCTTACCTAATATCTCAGATCCTTATCCTCACTTGGAAATTTCTTCCTCCTTTTAGTTTCTAGAATATCTAGTTCTGGTTCTTGTCTTATCTTTCTGACCATTCTCACTAAATCAACTCTTTACCTGCCACTCATTTTTAAGTATTTTTGTGCCCCTATGATTTCACCTTTTCCTTTTATTTTACACTGTTCCCCTGAGTGATCTCACTCATGCCTAGGACTTCTTTTGCTACCTTGAAAATGAAGATCCCACGTCTGTTTTGTGAGACAGAGTCAGAAAGAGGAATCAGGACCTCTGGCAATTTCGTTTACACAACCCAATCCTGTCCCTAGCACACAGCTGACTGGACCAGGAATGAACACCTTGATAAATCTAAATCCCTCTTCAGGAAGTTTTACAAGTGAGTTGGAGATATTCTCTTTCTGTACTGTTTACCTGAACTGATGACATGTAAACACAGAGTTGTATATGATCCCCTACAACCAGAGATCATACAAAGAGAAAAGGGGCTGGGGAAAGGAAAAAAGAAAGTGAGAGCAAGGAAACTGAAAAAGGCAGCTAGAGACAGAGAGTGTCATGTCACCAGTTTTACTTCTTCCTTTCCAATATTAATTTATTTTGTTTCTTTTTCTTACCTGATTATACAGGCTAGAACCTCTAATATGTTGAATAAAAGTGGTAAGAACAGACATCTTTGCCTCCTGACCTTAGGGGGAAATCATTCGGTCTTTCACCATTAAGTATGACGTTAACTGTGTTTTTGTAGATATTATCAGATTGAGAAAGTTCCTTCTATGTGTAGCTCGTTGAGAGTTCTTTTGTTTGTTTGTTTTTTAAGGTTTTTTGCCATAGGATGTGTGTGCTTGCTGAACAGAGACAGAGAGAGTGAGAGGAAAAGTGAGAAATCACTCCCTGGGGGGATGGCCACCCTGCAATCCCTTCTCCTCCATTCTTCTCCTGGGATCTTGGGCAAGCATGCATATGTGCCCAGCATGAGATTCAAGCCACTGAAACTCAAACCAAGGTTGGTCATGCGGGAGCCCAGTGCCTTAACCAATAAACTACCTGCTGGCCCTTTATTGAGAGTTTTTACCATGAATAGGTATTGAGTCTTGTCAAATGCTTTTTCTACATCTGCTGTCCTTTATTCCATTAACATGATGCATTATATTTTTTAGATGTTAAGCCAACCTTGCATTTGTGATATAAACTCCACTAGGTCACACAGTATGTAGTACTTTTTGGATATCGCTAGATTCAGTTTGCTAATATTCTGCTTAAGATGTTTCTGTCTGGGACGAGAAGATGGCATAATGGTTATATCACTGGATTCCCACACAGTTGACTGCAGTTCAAGTCCTGGACCTGGTAGCTTGAAACTCATACTGGGTGTGTGTGCGTGCATGCCCTAAATCCCAAAAGAAGAGAGGAGAAGGGATTGCAGCATGGCCATTCCCCTAAGGTGTGATTTCTTACTTCCTATCTCTCTGTCTTCCTGGTGAGCACATGTGTCCTGTAGCACAAATCTCTCAAAAAAAAAAAAAAAAAAGTTGTTTCAGTCTGTTTTCATGAGGACTATTACCTTATAATTTTCTTTTCTGGTAATATCTTTGTCTGGTTTTGACATCAGAGTAACACTAATCTTACCAAATTAGCTCGGGAGTGTTCCTCCTCTATTTTCTAAGAGTTTACAAAAGATTAGAATCATTTCTTTTTTAAATGTAAAATGACTACTCTTTTTTTTAATATCTTCAGTCTTGTGTCCTTCACTGTATCTAGTGCAGGGTTCTGCATAATAAATGAGTTATCTAACTATTAGGTTGTCAGAAAAGTCATGACATATTTTTTTCTAAGAAAAAAATTCTACATGACTTCTTTTTTTTATTTTTTTTGAGAGGTTTTCGCCAGAAAGACAGAGAGAGACAGAGAGATAGAAAGCGAGAAATCACCCCCTAGGGGGGATGGCCATGCCACAATCCCTTCTCCTCCATTTTCCTCTCGGGATCTTGGGCACACACGCACATGTGCCCAACGTGAGTTTAAGCCACCAGGTCTGGGACTCGAACTATGGTCGACTACATGGGAGTCCAGCGACAGCCATTACGCCAACTGCTGGCCTCAACATGACTTTTTTGACAACCCAATATATCCCAGAAATGGCTAAGATAGTATGTATGTATGTATGTATGTATGTATTTGCTAGAGGGTATATGTACCCACCAGATAAAAAGCGAGAAAGCACACCTGCCCTCCCCGCATGGGGCATGGTCAAGTCACAATCTCTTCTCCATCTCTCCCTCCTTTCAGGATTTTGGACATACAATGCACACGTACCTAGCATGTTTTTTCAAGTCTCCAGGTCCAAGACTGGAACTGCATTGTTGGTCGTGTGGGATCCAGTCACCTTAACCACCTTAAGTCACATGCTGGCCCTGACAGTATTTTTAAGGTGTCTCTCTTTTTATTTTTTCCCTCATTAAACTTTGTTTTCATGGGTTTAAAAATTCTGTGATAGATTTTTGGCCAAGTTGTTTCCATTAAAAAGTACTAATTTTAGAAACTAATAACTAGGGAACCAGCAGTTAGAGTAATGGCTATGTCGCTGGACTCCCACGTAGTCGACCGTGGTTTGCGTCTCGGACCCGGTAGCTTACAACTCATGCCGGGGGCGTGTGCATGCGTGCCCAAGATCCTGAGAGAGAATGGGAGAAGGGATTGCGGTGTGACCATCCCCCCGGGGGGTGATTTCTCGCTTTCTGTCTCTATGTCTCTCTCTGTCTGTCTGGTGAGCGCACGCACCCTATAGTGAAAACCTCTCCAAAAAAAAAAAAGAAAAAAAAAGAAACTAATAACTTAAAACTACCACACACACACACACACACAGGGAAAAAAAAAAAAAAAAACACAAAATGGTCCACAAAACATTTTCTTTTCATTCTGAAGGGTTTTATGATGCATTGTTATCATTAATCAGTCTTTTATTATTAAACTTAAATGGCCAATTAAGACAAACAGTTCTGAGACTGTTCTTCCAGCACTGATTAAGACTAGGATGGCAGGAATTAGGGATATTCATTCAGCCTTCTGAGCTATCTGGGCAGACGTGGTGACCTTGCCAGCTCCAGCAGCCTTCTTGTCCACAGCTTTGATGATACCCACGGCAACTATCTGTCTCATGTCACGAACAGAAAAATGACCCAGAGAAGGATAGTCAGAGATGCTCTCAGAGATGCTCTCAACACACATGGGCTTGCAAGAACCATATAAACAATGGCAGCATCACTGGATTTCAAGAATTTAGGGCCATGGGACCAGCAGATGGCATAGTGGTTACTCCTACCTAATTGACTGTGGTTTGAATCCCAGATCTGGTAGCTTAAAACTCACACTGGGCGCAGATGCGTGTGTGACCAATACACTGAGAAGAGAATGGAGAAGAGATTGCAGTGTGGCCATCCCTCCTGGAGGGTTATTTCTCGCCTTCTGTCTCTCTCTGTCTCTCTGGTGAGTACATGTACCCTACAGCAAAAACCTCTCCTTAAAAAGAAAAAAAGAATTTAGAGCTATTTTCAAGCTTTTTACCAGAATGGCAATCAATCTTTTCCTTCAGCTCAATAAATCTGCAAGCAAGATGAGCTGTGTGACAATCCAGTATAGGGGCATAGCCAGCACTGATTTGGCCTGGATGGTTCAGAATAATCACCTGAGTACTGAAGCTAGCTGTTTCCATTGGTGGGTTGTTATTGCTGTCACCAGCAACATTGCCATGCTGAACATCTTTGACAGACATGTTCTTGACCTTGAAGCCCACATTGTCCCCAGGAAAAGCTTCACTCAAAGCTTCATGGTGCTTTTCAACATACTTTACTTCAGTTATCACACTGACTGGTACAAAGGTGACCACCATACCAGGTTTGAACACACGAGTCTCCACTTGACCCACAGGAAGTGCCAATACCTCCAATTTTCTACACAGCCTGGAGGGGTAGATTCAGTTGGATGAGTTGGTAGTAAGATGCAATCTAGAACTTCAAGCAGTGTAGTTCCACTGGCATTGTCCTCTTTAAGGGCAACTTCCCATCCTTTGAACCATGGCATATTAACATTTAACTCCAGCTAGCTTACTGTCATCATTTCAAACAGAAGTTGGCACAAATGCTACTGTGTTGGGACTGTAGCTAATTTTCTTAACATAGGTGCTGACTTCCTTAACAATTTCCTCATATTTTTTCTGACTGTAGGGTGGCGAGGTAGGATCCATTTTGTTAACACCAATGGTTAGTTGTTTCACAACCAGTGTGTAAGCCAGAAGGGCATGCTCATGTACCTGCCTGTCCTTGTTATGTTTTTGACATGGTCTCTGGGTCCTGGGACATCAGTGATAGTCACATAATACTTGTTGGTCTCAAATTTCTACAGAAAGATATCAATGGTGATATCATGCTCATATTCAGCTTTGTTTATCTAAAACCTAGGCAGACTTGAAGGAGCCCTTTCCCATCTCAGCATCCTCTGCAAATTTTTCGATGGTTCTTTTGTTGATCCTACCACATTTGTAGATCAAATGGCCAGTAGTGGTAGACTTGCCAGAATCTGTGGGTCCAATGACAATGATGTTGATGTGAGTCTACTCCTTTTCCATTTTGGCTTTGATTTAGTGGTGGTTTTTATGATACCTGTGTTCTGGTGGCAAATCTATTGCAAAAAAACAGTGTCCCAAATTTCAACCAAAGGCATTTTGTATTCTCCATAAAATGGAAAACAATCTAACTTACTCCTTTTTAAAAAAGAGATTTATTTAATTTTACTGGTTATTATTCTTAATTTTAATTTATTATAGGGCACATAATGTGCTCACTAGAGAAAGACAGAGAGAGAGAGAAGGAAAGTGAGAAACCAAGCTGCCAAGTCTGGGACTTTAACTGTAGTCAGCCACATTGGAGTCTAGCACCTTAACTACCTCGCCACTTTTTTGGAGAGGTTTTTGCTGTAGGGCACTTGCACTCACCAGAAAGACAGAGAGAGACAGAGAGACAAAGAGCAAGAAATCACTCCCCCATGGGGATGTCCACATCACAATCCCTTCTCCTCCATTCTCCTCTTGGGATATTGGGGGCACACACACACACACACACACACACACACGTGCCCGGTGTGAGTTTAAGTCACAGGGTCTGGGACTCAAACCACGGTCGACTACATAGGAGTCCAGGGACATAGCCGTACGCCATCTGCTGGTCCTGAACAATTACTCTCAAGTTTAGGAAAAATAAAATATTTACTTACTCGGTAATAGTTCTCTATCAGCAGTCTCTGTGCAACTGGGATAAGGATAAAATAGATGTCCTTTCTCTAATGGGTATGGAATCATTCTAAAAGCTGAGGGAAAAAAAAACCCACATATGTTGTCATTCCATTCTTTCTGATTTACCATCCTATACTACAGATCAGAGCTATTTTAGAGACATATTTTTATGAAATTTTCACATAGTATTTTATTTTGTTTTTTAGAGAAACATTTTAGATGTAACCAACAAAGTTCACAAATGAATTAAAAAGGGGAAGAACAATATGTATTTAGAGAATAGTGAACAGTCTAATCTGGCTGGAGGAAAACTAAAGGGAGCAATAGATAATATGACTGAGTCCTTCTTTACCTCAGTCTCCTCATTACAAACACAATGGACTTAACTCTACAAGTCAGAATTGCACTTTGCACAGAAATCTTTATAAGATTGTAATGTGTATCATTGAGGCCATAACTGTTGAGAGCCTACAAAAGTTCTCAATGGCTCCTAAGGTGACATGTGAGGTTCACCAAAGCTTTCTAGCAGCAGAGTTTAATCAAGATGAGGGGGTCACCAAAGCACAGCCCTTTGGCCAGATCTGGCCCACTATACTTTCATAAATAAAACTTTAGTGGAACACAACCATGCTATTCATTAATGTACTATCTAAGGCTGCTTTCATACTAGAAGAATTAAGTAGCTGTAACAAAAACAGTATGGCCTACAAGCCTAAAATACTTACTATCCAGGCCTTACAATATAAACTGTCACCAACTCTTGAGGATTTATTAAAAAAAAGAAATCCTTGGGGCCGGCAGGTGGTGTGGTGTTAGGGGCACTGGACTCCCACATGGCCAACCACGGTATGAGTCCCAGACCTGGCAGCTTGCTTTCTCACTCTCTCTCTGTCCCTCTCTGGTCAAATTAATATGAAATAAATTAATAAATAAGTTAAATAAAATAATTCTTTAAAAAAATCCTTATGGAGTTTCTCCACTAGCTAAATACACATCAAGATTATGATAAAGTTTTTGTTTCTTCTTTAGTGGTTAGCTCTATAAATTTTTATCAAAATATAAGTTTTGTTTTACCACAATAAAAAGCAGTTATTTATCCAAAGTCATAGAACAAGTCAGTGAGAACACTAAGAAATCATTTATCAAGATTCATGGAATACCGTATAAATCATGTACTTATTGAAAATGTCCTATGTACCAAGGAGAATACCAGTCAGTAAAGACACATACAAGATGAATGAGAGAGATTGCCTCACTCTGAGAATGTACAGACTACTAAAAAAAAGTAAAGGAATTCTAATTAGTCAAATGCTCTCAGTTCCCAAACTATATAGTCCCAGTTTTATAATTTACATTGTCAGTATCAAGCATAGTGTCTAGCCCTTAGTAAATGGTTAGTGAAGGAGTTCTCACATTTTCTTGGGTCAAGGACCACACTGCTCTTCATGTCTCAATACTTTTTTTTTCTTGGAGAGGATTTTTTTTGCTATAGGGCGCGTGTGCTTGCCAGACAGACAGAGAGATACAGAGAGACAGAAAGCGAAAAATCACCCCCCAGGGGGGATGGCCACGCCGCAATCCCGTCTCCTCCGTTCTCCTCTTGGGATCTTGGGCATGCACACACATGTGCTCGGCATGAGTTTTAAGCCACCGGGTCCGGGACACAAACCGTGGTCGACTACATGGGAGTCTAGCGACATAGCCATTATGCTAACTGCTGGTTCCAATACTTTTTTATAATACCTTATGCTGAAATAAATATCTAACAATTTCACTTATTAAGTAGCATATCCATACAACTTTAAAAGTTTATAGTTTAAAAGTTTAAGTTCTGATGACTAAGCAGCAATTTAAAAAGAGATACACAAGATTTTCTTAATTCATTTTTAAATAACCATTGTTTCTTACTAATGGTATGTATATAGGAACCTACTGGCTCCTTCTCAAACTTTGAAATCAGATTAGACATCTTCAACCTCACTGCCTATTTCACACTGATTTCTGGTTGTACTTCTTTTAATCCCAGCAACGGATAGAAACCCAGCTTTGCAAAGATATGACAACATTGAAAGAGAGAGTGACTTAATATTGAAACTGTGAACTATTTGGAGCTAATATATAGTTTCAGTGGTATCTAAAGGATGTTAAGTGTGTTTCGTTGAAACTTATATTCCATGGCACTCTTGTGAACTGCTGCAATGTCCCAAGGCACCTCAGTACAAAGTTTGGGAACTGAACAAATCAGTAAGTTTCAATGAATGAGTACTGAATTTGTCTTTCCATTTTTATGGATAGGTTGATTGAATTACATGAGTCCAACTGATAAAACATTTTGATTAGGGGGCCAGCAGATGGTATGGTGGTTAAGGTGCCGGACTCCCACGTGACCAAATGCAGTTCAATTCCAGAGCCCACTGGCTTGAAAATTATGCCAGGTGCATGTGCATACGTGCCCAAGATCCCAGGAGGAGAATGGAGGAGAAGGGATTATGGTGTGGACATCTCCCATGGGGGATGACTTCTCATTTTTCCTCTCACTGTCTTTCTCTCTGGTAAGGGCACACACCTTATGGCAAAAACCTTTAAAAAATTTTGGTTAACTTTCTTCACTTTCTTAGTGGTTATAACAAGTTAAAAATAAAAGATTTGGTAGTTTAAAATGGTCCAATTTATTCTCCAAAGAAGATATATAAATGGCCAAAAAATACATGAAAAAATACTCAACATCACTAATCACTAAGGAAATGCAAATCAAAACCACAATGAGATTCTACTTCACACTCATTAGGATGATTATTATTATAAAACCAAACCAAACCAAAAAAAAAAAAGAAACACACACCACAAAACCTAAGAAGTACAAGTGTTGGCAAGGATATAGAAAAATTGAAATTCTTGTTATATTGCTGGTAAGAATAGAAAACGGTCGAGCTGCTGTGAAAACCAGTACAATGATACTCAAAGAATTAAACATTGAATTTTATGATCCCTCAATTCTACTTCTGGGTAAAATATCCAAAAGAATTGAAAATAGTAACTTGAACAGATATTTGTATACTCATGTTCATAGCAACAGTATTCATAATAGTTAAAAGGTGAATACAGCCCAAATGTTCACTGATGAATGAATAAACAAAATGTGATATATACATATAATTAAATAACATTCGGCCTTAAAAAGAGTAAACTTCTAACACATACTACTTATGAATAAGCTCTGAAGATACTATGCTAAATGAAATAAGCCAGACATAAAAGGATAAATATTGTATGGTTCTACTATGACTACTTAGAGTAGTCATATTGACAGAAAGTAAAATGGTGGTTGCTAAGGGCTAGAGAGAATAGGAATGGAGAATTATTATTTAACAGATACAGAATTTCATTTTGGTATAATGAAAAGTTCTGGATATGAATGGTGTCGATGGTTGTCCAACACTGTGAAGGATAATAATCCCACTGAAGTGTACATTTGAAAATGGTTAACACAGGGCCAACCATGTGGCATGATGTTTAAAGTATTGGATCTCACATGGCTGACTCTACATTCAAGTCCCAGACCCAGAAACTTAAAAACATACCAGGCATGCCTGTGTGCATGCCCAAAATCCCAAGAGAAGACTGGAGGAGAAGGAATTCTGACTGGCCATCCCCACTCAGGGGGTGATTTCTCACTGTCTCTCTCTAATCTCTCTTTCTCTTTTTCTCCCTTTCTCTCTCTGTCTCTCTCAGGCAAGTACGCATGCCCTATAGCAAAAATATTTTTTAAAAAGGTTAACACAGTAAATTTCATGCTATATTTTATCATAATAAGAGAATAGAATTGATATTAGTTATAAAGGAAATAATTTCATGTCATGCACATCTGAAAAGCATGTGAAAAGGAAAACCAGATCAATTTAAAAATATTAGGCTAGCTCTATCATATTACAAAGGTTATAAACCAAAGAGCATAAATTTCCTTCTTGTTTCCTTGCAAATATATAACTTAAAGGAACGTATGACAGAACACCACAACAATTTCTCATTCTGGTTTTCCTAATGCAACATCAGTATAATATCAGGAATTTCTTCTACCAATAAACTAAATATATCACTATGAAGTTCACTTTGAAACCAGTCTGAACAACAAATCCTCACAGAAACTCAGACAATCTCATTAAAAAAGACTGCCTGTGAGTTCATTGACTAGTCAGAGAGATTAGTGTTATATTTTTAAAAGAATACTTACTGCCTTCCCATGTACACTGTAGCAGATTAAGAGCCCCTTCTATTCTCTTCCAGTGCTGAAGATGAAAGAAAGCATAGGCAATTGCTTCACTATCACCCCGTTTTAGAATGTGTTCTGGAGGTAAAATTAAACTTTTCATCTCTAGTAAATACTAGAAAGATAACACACACAGAAAAAAGAAAAATTAAATTGTGTTCAATTCAAACACCCATAAAACATAGCTCTAAAACATCAAATTGATTAAAAAATAAAAAACACACATACATTAAACTAAGTTGAAATGACATGAAGGTCCTATTAATAATGTGTGTATAAATTGCTTATATGTATAAATTCCAAAAGTCAGAATATTTTTCCTGTAGGTAAAAATAAGGTCGCATAATGGTTCACAGTGTGACCTCTCTAAACATAAAATAATTCAAACTGAGGAAATAATACAAAAATATTTACCTTCAAAAATAATTAAATGTGAAAATTATAAAATACAATTTTGAAACAATACTTTGTGGTAACATTCTTTTCTCTCTTACTTCCATTTTAATGGTGGAAAACTCCAATTGAATGAATATTTATGGATCCCAAAGCACCATGCCTATTAGGGAATAGCAAAAACATCCTATCTGTTTTCTGGAGCTTCATAATGTAATGGGAAATCATTTAACTACACTGTGGTGAGGGCTTTAGAGGAATAAAAAATGTATACAGGAATATAGATAAGAGATTTTTTTATTTAGTTTTTTTTATAATAGCTTTGTTGAGATATAATTCACGTACTTTAGCATTCACCAATTTAAAGTATACAGTTCAATGGTTTTTAGTATATTTACACATATGTGCAACTAGCACAATTTTAGAACATTTGGATCACCTCAAAAGAGAAGCCCATACCCTATAGTTATCTCCCCTAATTCTCCACTCATTCTAAGCAACCACTACACTATTTTTTGTTTCTACAGATTTGCCTGTTCCAGACATCTAACATAAATGGAATCATAGAATATGCTGTCTTTTAAGACTGGTTTCTTTTATTTAGTGTAATGTTTTCAAGGTTCATACAGTTTACAGCATGCATTAATACTTCATTCCTTTGTATGGATATCTTGTTTATCCATTCATCAGTTGACAGACATTTAATTGTTGTTGCCTTTTGGCTATTATAAATAATGCTACTGTAAACATTGGTATACTGGGACCAGCAGTTGGCATAATGACTATGTCGCTGGACTCCCATGTAGTCAACCGTGGTTCGAGTCCCAGACCCGGTGGCTTAAACTCACACTGGGTGAGTGTGCATGCATGCCCAAAAACCCAGAGGAGAATGAGGAAAAGGGATTGCGGCATGGCCATCCCCCCTGGGGGGCAATTTCTCCAATTTCTCCCTTTCTGTTTCTCTGTCTCTCTCTGTCTTTCTGGTGGGTGCAGGCGCCCTATAGCAAAAACCTCTCCTCCAGAAAACAAAACAAAACACTGGTGTACCAATATTTGGTGTGAACATATATTTTCATTTTACTTGGGTAAATACCTTGGAGTAGAACTGCTGGGTCATGTGAAAACTCTAATTTGGGGGTATTATAACTTAGGGGTTAGAAATAAACCACTTGATGAAATTTGAGCTGATATTTAAAGATGGGTAGAATGTGTAGAGCAGACTGGGGTGTGAAGAGTGGAGAACAGGAGGACTTAGTCAAAGCGTAAGGCCATCTTGAACAAAGACACTGAGCCAAGAGCTCCCAGAGCAAAATGCATTGAAGGAATCAGTGAACGTGCCTGTTAAAGAAGTTATAGTCTATCAATTCTTCTTCATATATAAAACTAAATTCTATTATAAATGCTGAAAGAAAATACTCATCCTAAAATTATAATCCATAAAAAAGGCAATGCTAATCAGTTTTTGCTAATCAGTTACTGCTAATCAAATGTACTAATTTCATGAAGACACGAAATTAACCACTTGTACAATACGTCATCTTTACTATTAAAGTAGTCAATTTAGAACAAAATCTTTTAAAAATATCTATTTAGCTAAGTATATCCTCCAAGGAGGCCAGAATATTCTTCATCTTCTAGAATAGGTTTGAAACAATTTTTTCGGTTCTAAACAGTTTGATATCACAAGGTCTAAATCACATTAAATTCTGTTATAAAATACAAAAAGAGAAATATCCCAAGGGCATCTCAGAAGATATATTCTCACATTTCAAATTCTGATTTCTCAAGATGCTATACAAACTAATGAGATAATATAAATTAAAGAGTTGAAGTTGTGAAACACTTTGTAAAATTGCCATAAATACTAAGACTCCAGGAAGAATCTTAAAAGCAACAACAACAAAAAAAGCCCCAGTGGTTTCAAAATATAAGTCTTGGGGCCAACAGGTGGTATGTGGTGGTTGGGGCTCTGAACTCCCATATGGCTGACTGTGGTTCGAGTACTGAACCTGGTGGCTTGCTTTCTCACTTTCCTCCCTTCCCCCACAGGGAACATGTGCCCTGTAGCAAATTAAAAAATAATAAGAATAAATAAATAATTCTTTTTTAAAAAAGTAAGCCTTAGGTTATTAATCAATAGGTATGCATTCATCATATTAAAACAATTTTTCTTCTTTATGAAATGTGCCTTTCCAACAATTACTGACAATTACTGCCCATCTTTAATCTGGCTCTGTCCTCAAAGTGTAAGAATGCAGTCTACTCATCGATTTATTTTAGCAGATGTCACAAACTATGAGATTATTTACTAATCCAGTTTGGGGACTTAACATTTCCCATTCAGTTTCTTAAAGGAATGCAGCAGAGGTTGTGTCCTGGTCAAGCAAAGCCCATTTGCTGCCTGGTTGGGTTCTCTCCCCTTACTGCCTTGGGCCTATATTCAGGAGGGTAATATTCTTTCTAATCCTCTCTAATCCTTGCCCATTTTTTTAAAACACAGTAAAAGATCACTCGCACCAGGCAGCTGTGGGAAAATGGACTCAAATAGCTGACCTCTGACCTGACTCCTTATGCTCTTTGCAAGTGCACTAAGAGCTTCTTCAGTAGGAAGCAAAGAAAATGTGGCCATCGTAGTGGAATCACCATCATAAGAAGAGTCATTTTCAGAAAAAAATTATTTAGTACTTAAACCAGGTCTTATTAAAATTCTGCTTCATTTTACAGATAAAGGAGACAAAATGTCCCATATCATTTTCAGTAAGTTTTAGAAGTCAGAAGCTTTAAAACTAAACCCCAAAATGGAGGTATTTAGTATATTGGTAACTACTTAGGAAATGTAAACAAAGATCCTCAGTTAACAATTATTCATAAAACTTAAAGAAAATATCAATTTATATGTCAGAAAGTGCTTTTTTTGAATAGCATTTATATACCTGTATTTTTATAGTTTACTAACCTAAGTGATGACTCAGGTAGTAAATAATATATATGGCACACTTATTAGGAAATGATACTTCAGACTTTATATTAAAAATCATTGCTATTTTTAAAAAGTTTTACATAAATATTGTGAATTTAATAATTTTTAAAAAATCTTCCATATGCTACTTTATTTTTTATTATCATCTTCTACCTATCAGCAAATGTCCTTTCCAATTTCACTTTAAAACAAAGCAATCTTTTGGTTTTTAATTAGACACTGAAATAAATTTTTTAAAAGAATTATTTAATTTTTTGTCATTATTTTTTTTTTTTGAAGTTGACCAGAGAGAGACAGAGAAAGAGAAGGAAAGTGAGAAAGCAAGCTGTCAGATCCAAAACTCAAACCGAAGTATATGTATGTGTGTGTGTGTGCATATGTGTGTTTATATATATATATCGTTGAGGTAGAGAGGAAAAAGACATTATTATCTCTACTTGGGAAGACTGGAAAAGACTCCTTTATAAAGGAGACAACTGATAAGCAAGTTCTTGGAGAATAAGTAACAACTTGCCTGGTGCAGAAGAGACTGAACATATGTCCAAGGGGAGTAAAGAATTCAGATAACTGTGACACTGGAGACAAGGAGCACGAAAGAAGTGGCAAGGAGTTGGGAGTCTAATATTGCACCTAGACTGTAAAGGGTTCCCATGGGGGGGGCAGGGGTAGAAAGGAGTCTTGAAAATGTTCATGGAAAACGCATATTAAATACTGTATATGGGAACCAGCAGATGGGGTAATGGTTACATCACTGGGAGCCCATGTAGTCGATCAGGGTTCAAGTTCTCGACCCAGTGGCTTAAAAGTCAAGCCCGGCACATGTGCATGCATGTCCAAGATCCTGAGAGGAGAATGGAGAAGAGATTGTGGCATGGCCATCCCCCCATGGGGTGATTTCTTGTTTTCTGTCTATCTGTCTCTCCAGTGAGCACACACACCCTATAGCAAAAATTTCTTAAAAACAAAAACCCTGTGTATGGGGGCCAACAGGGAGTGTGGTGGTTAAGATGCACAGAGAATCCCATGTAGCTGACTCTGCGGTTTGAATCCTGGACCTGGCAGCTTGAAAAACATACCAGGCATATGTGCGTGTATGCTCAAAATCCCAAGAGGAGAAAGGGATTGAG